GCGCATCGGCAAAGGCCGCAAATTGAAAAACAATACATGCTTATGCCGGTCCGTCAAAAGCCAATAGCGGCCTGTGGAACTAAACTCGACAGCGGCGTAATGAAACATCAAACTATAGTCCTGCATTATTATTATTATAATTAATAGTAATAATACAGGAACACAGCTGAAATTGCGCGTCAATAAGTTTTTAAAAAGTCATTTTTTTTTAATTGTTTGCAGTGTCTTGAACTAAGTTTTGGTGGCTAAAAACTCAATAGCATTTATTCTCCAGAAGAGGAAAACGACACCAAACCTTTGCACAAATTGAACTAGCTTAGAGATTTGCTGCACGACGTCGGCTCCAAAGAGACATTTTTTAGAACCGACAAAGGTACATCGGTGCTGCTCTATTGCTAGGTTTAGAAGATTGTGCTTTCCATAGCTTGGCTTTATATTTGTGTTGCACTGCGTGGCCGCCTAACAGTAATTGTTAGCATCTTAGGTAGGATCTCCAATGCAGGGTGTGCTTACGTCATATCGTACAATGTTGGTCGGGATCATAGTTTTTTATATTCATGTAAGGCATATATGTAAAAGCCATCTTGTTGGGAGGGGCATTCAGCTAGAAATGAACGCCGTGGCTACTTTTCTGCCCGAGTTACGAAATTTGAAAGATCAAGGCGTGGGGATTCACAAAGTTTCGCTAATATGCTTGCCCCCCCCCCCCCCCCCCTCCCCCCCCGCCCTCTAATCTTCGTGCCTGTTGCTTACGAAGTTCTCTCGGCGGCTGACAGTTGAGAACTGTATGCACATCCACTAAACGTGAAATGCAAAGCCCGCCCCTCGAAACATATGCTATGGAAGCAGTATCTGAAAAGTCGGTACCTTGGCGTTCAACATCGTGTGACGACAAACAATCCAATTTAGCATTTTTATGTACTGATGCGTACCATGCAACGTTATACAGAAGTTCATAACTACAAGGGTTTTGACATTGGGTGTTTCCGTGTCACTTCATAAAATTATAGTGCGGGTCATAGTGTGCATATTTCTGCAAAATATCAACTATATGAAATACATGTCCTTGGGAGAAGCACTCATCTGTATGCCTATATGTATAAAAGGCGTTTCGAGAAACACGGACCAAATCGTTCCTGAGAAAAGTACGCATTGCAAAGAAAAAGGGTTGATGCAGTGTTTACCCCTGCCAAACGGCAAATTTAGGAAAAGAGAGCTGTGTTTGATATAATGAGGATACTAAGTACATTTAGTAACTAACTTCGCACTTAATACATTTTGACGTATCACCCCTATTAGAAACATGGTGGAGGTCATCTAAATCTATTAAATCCATCAACATTTTAAAGATATGAGGCCTGTGCATCAGCATTTGACGGAACTCCGAAGGAAATACACTTAATTTGGACGCGTTTTAAAAGAGGGGGGGGGGGGGGGGCGAGTTACAGGGCGACGCAAGAAAACAAATATAAACCTAATCAAGGAATAACGCGAGCTTCCATACTCTGCGATACGGCAGCACCGCTGTACGGCCTTTGTCGGTTCTAGAAAATGTCTCTTTGGAGTCGACGTCGTGCAGCGCAGCCACTATAACAAAAACAGGCTAACTCAGTTTGAGCAAGGTTTATTATAGGATTTTCTCTTTTGAACGTCATATGTTACCAGTGGCGTAGTAAAGAGAGCCGAGGGCCGTGCAGGGAGGGGGGAGCCACCTCTGGCACCCTTCTCTTCCCCCTCCCACCGCTCTCCTCTCCGAACTCTGACGTCCCCCGAAAGGGGGTGACAAAAGACCAACGGGCCACGGCTGTCGGATTGCCTAGTTATGCGACCGTATGTTTCTCAATGTTTTGTCATCACAAGTTAGTTGGATACAGCAAAGGTTTAAAAGATAACGTGTTTTTTTGTGTGTGTTTCTTTAATAATGACACAATTATAATATGGGCTAATCCTTTTTTATGTATTCGTAAATTGCTTTGAAATATGCTTGTTTTGATCCATTTTGCGCCTTTTCATTCAAATATTTTGTTGGTAAATAATTTATGAAGTTGACTCTAAAACGTGTTTACTTCACGTGTTTTGCAGCTTTTTTTATCAAAATTTTTATTGATCCTTTTTTATATTTTGTGTAATGTCGTTAACCATGCTGGAAATAAGTGGAAACAATCATTACTATGTGCATTCCCTCCTGCACCACGGCGGTGCAGGAGGGAATGGATCATTACATTCCTCTAAAGAAGCATACCAATTCAAAATTTCCCTCGTGGTTTTCTCCGTATTTAAAAAAGTTGCTGAAGAAAAAAAGCTTCTCTCATCGCAAATTTAAAAAGACTGGCAGTCTCAGGTGGGAGGCTGAATTCGTTCATTATAGACGCCTATGTAAGCAACATCAGAGGATTGATCATAAGATATATGTGGAGTCAGTGGAGTCCGAATTGAGGAGAAACCCAAGAAAACTCTACCGACATGTTCGTTCTCGAGGAGGAAAATTGATACATCCTGATATTATACTTAATGAGGAGAATGTGACCACGTCCAGTGTATGCGATATATTTGCGCGTCATTTCAGTTCTGTATATAAACACAATAGGAGTGGGTACCAACAGCCGCCATCCCCTAGCGTGAACGAATCCATTTCCTCCCTGCCTGTGGATGAGGGAATGATTCAGGAATGCATAAAAAAACTGAGGCCTACCATGTCCACAGGTCACGATGGTATTCCAGCAACACTTGTAAAAGCATTTCACAATATTTTTACGCCCATCCTTTATGATATTTTCAACAACTCCTTAAGAGCAGGAGTGTTCCCTGATATGTGGAGGAAGTCAGTCGTAGTCCCAGTCTACAACTCTGGAAGTCGTACCACTGCATCAAACTACAGGCCAGTGTCTCTGCTGTGTACATTTTCGAAACTTTTCGAAATGGTGGTCCACAAAACATTTTCCTTTCGTTTAAAAACTGTATTAAGTTCCAACCAACACGGATTTGTAGCAGGACGCTCGACAACAACAAATTTGATTTCATTTATGTCCATTGCATCCAAAGTTGTGTGCCAAAGAGGCCAGCTCGACGTGGTCTACGTTGATCTGAGTAAGGCGTTTGATGTGGTTGACCATGACATTCTTTTATCAAAACTTTGTGGTATTGGTGTCTGTGGAAAGCTACACAACTGGTTTCAGAATTATTTGTCTAATAGAACATGTGTTGCTCGTGCGAACGGCGCGTATTCTTTTACGTACACGGCCACGTCTGGGGTACCTCAGGGATCAGTTCTGGGCCCGCTTCTTTTTTCTATTTTTGTGAACGATGTGTGTAAGTAGATTGTAAACTCGTCTTTTTTGCAATATGTTGATGATATTAAGATATTTAAGGAGATTAGAACTATATCAGATTGCAAGTGTCTACAAGAGGACATAAACTCATTTAGCAAATGGTGTTCACTGAACGGTCTCCTACTAAACAGCTCGAAAACCAAGGTCATGTCCTATAGTCGCAAAACGCAAACGACGTGTTTCCCTAACAGTATTCGCTCAGACGTATTGTGCCGTTCTAGTGAAGTGCGGGACTTGGGAGTGCTTTTTGACTCCTCCTTGAGATTTGATAGCCATGTGGCTCGTATAAGTACCTGCGCCTTGCGCGCGCTCGGTATCGTTTGTCGAACGACTAGAGTATTTAAAAACCCCACAACGTTTGTAACCCTGTACCGCTCTTTGACAAGGTCTCAACTCGAATATGCATCTCCGGTATGGAATGGCAGTTGTAAAACTACCCTCCTAAGGCTGGAGCGAGTGCAAAACAAATTTGTATCTATTTATCGATATCGATATCTGCGAGATGAAACATCTCTATCAAAGGGTAACAATGTATTGGACGTCCTACAAATGAACAGCTTATATCACCGTCGAGAAAAGGCAGATCTGGTTTTCCTTTTCAAAGTCCTTCATGGTATGGCCGACTGTTCAGAACTGCTCTCACAGATATCTTTGCGAGTTCCTCGGACAGCGACCCGTTTGACAACGTCTTTTTACTCTCCTCGAACGTTAAATATCTTGGACCCGATGTTTCGTATGTGTCGGGCATATAATGGCATTGGAAGTGATCTTGATATTTTTTGTGTGACTGAATTTGTCAGATCTCTCAGATTCTTGTATGGGTCTCTCTGAACCTGTCGGTGATTGTGATGTTATTATATATTATTTTAAGAAGGTATATTCGTTGTTGTGGTAGTTTTCCTACTCTGCGTTCGGACCCTGTGTTCCGTTCTTTCCTTGTTGTGTATATCGTATCTTCGTGTCAGCATGCGTTATATGTATCATATCTTTTACTCAATGTTTTGAGTTTTTTTATGTTTTTTTCCTACTTTCTTGTAGTGTGTAAGTTTCGGTGTGCCAGCACCAAGACCGCATGGTCGTTCCTGGACACCTAATAAAATTATTCTTGATGCTTTGTTTTAAAATTAAAGGCTGTGGAAATTATCATATTGGAACCTTTCCGATCTTCACGCCTAGATATTCGAAATTCCAAATGTTCGGAGACGAAAAATAGCTGCGACGTTCATAGATGGCTGAATGGTCCTTCCGAGAACCTGTGTATAGAGTAAGATAATAAACATGATCCGGTATATTATTGTACGATCTGGCGTGGAAACACCCAGCATAGCGAGAAAAACGCAGTTGGCATATCAAACGTCAACAGTGCGAGCTTGCAATTTACAAAGCCAACAGACGTCGAAGAATCTGCGTGCGGTAAACGCAGATGCTATAAATTAAACACTCGTGATAAAACGGGAGGAGAAATTCCCTCTCACCGTCGGGAATCCTACGCGACACGCTATAGTATTTTAAACACAGAAAAGTTTATTTTCCTGGGATTTACCTAGAAAAAACCTTTCGTTTCTTATTCTGGGTAAAATGTTCTCTATGAAATTGCAATCCTTCCTTTGATCTTTTCTTTGCTGTTGTAAACTACTTCTACTAAAATGTTGAATATTATTTTTTCAACAGGTGTGCGTAAGCGGGTGGTGTGTTAACCTGGCAACTGGAAATGTTATGCAGCCGAAATAAAAATGTCTCCCTTGATCGTGTGCTCCTTACCAAATTTAATAATACTGGTCTATTTAAAAATTGTATTAGTAAATGTTTGTAGACCCTTTGCTTCCAGGACAGACTTGCAAATCTTATTTTACACTTTTGGGTTGAAAAAAATTGCGCTTGACCGCGTTCCATTGCAGACACTATTGGGAAGTACTCTAAGTACAGCGTACTTAAATCACTAATTTAAGTAGGTTTCGAAAACTTCTGCTTTGCTTAGAGTACTTTTCTGCTACTTTCCGTGGAAATTACAGCTCATGACTTCGAAGTATATTCCTCAAATTTGCTCATGTTAAATTTGTATTTAACAAGAGCAACTCTAAAATGTACAGTCGGGGACAAAAGTCTCCAGGACGTGCGAGCTGCGGCTGAAACGCATCGCTCTGCCATCTGCCGGCGGGTGGCCTGGTTTCGAGATCACACAAAAGCGCATGCGCGTCCTACTCTGCCTGCCAACATGTGCGCTTTCCCGCTCTTCTGCGGCACAGTGCCTAACTCGGAATCGGGCGCGTGGTACCGCCTCGCAGATAGCGTTGATGACTGACGAGCGTCTGCTACACATTCCGAAACTCGAGATACCGCCTGGGGCATTTCGCCGCATTTCGCCGTGTCAGCGCACCTTGCTTTATAACCAGTTGAGCTTATCGCTCAGTTGAGATGCCGTGACTTCTTGCTTGATAGGTGCCATGTCAGTAAGCGCTATCTCCGAGGCGGTACCACGCGCCCGATTCCGAGTTAGGCGCCGCGCCGCAGAAGAGCGGGAAAGCGCACATGTTGGCAGGCACAGTAGGACGCGCATGCGCTTTTCTGTGATCTCGAAACCAGGCGACCCACCGGCAGATGGCAGAGCAATCCGTTTCAGTCGCAGCTCGCGTGTCCTGGAGACTTTTGTCCCCGACTGTACAACTCTAAAATACTGGGATGCATAAAATAACCCAATCGCGAAACCCCCGTCTCAAAACCTCCATTTTAAATCCTTCGCGTTATCTACCCCATCTAAAAAATCACAGCATTTCAAGAACCATTCACACGAAAACCCCGTTCTGGGTTCCCACGCTTTCTTTGTTCGGCTCATAACTCACAACTCTATTTCGTATTTCTTTTTTTGATTTCTTCTATGTCTAGTAAACCATATGCAGAACTTTGACCGCCATAATCTCTTTGTGACCATTCAAACCAGCTATTTTTGTTTTCTGAAAAGGTGCGAAATAGAGCACTAAAGCGTGAAACACATGCATGTGAGCAAAACTCGCGTCGCTTCGCGCCCCTGAGCGCCGTAACCAAGACAACCGTTGCTGTCACGGCGGTGCGATGCGACGCGCCTTTTTCTCACATATGTCACACGTTTAAACCATCGTGAAGCCACACGATATGTTCTGCTTCAATGATCTCCCTAGTCGTTTAATGATCGCCCCAGTTAAACTATGCCTGCTCACCCCTACTTTTGTGAACTAACCGAAGCTGGTGTGGTGTTTTTAGTACAGTTCATAGATATATGCGAAGGTGTGCTCAATTGTTTGCATATGCGGAGAGCTTGTTTGGAGCGGTAGAAAGAACTTCAACGTTTTGAGACACTTTTTTAAGTCCACAGTAGAACTTGTGAGTACTCCTTCCCTCTTTCCACTGTAAAACGCTTCGGGCAGAAAGGACGGTGTCTCAACAATCGACTCCGCGAGTACAACAACCTCGCCACTGCAAACTTTGTATATCTAGCACTTCACTGATAATATAGCGTGTGTGCGGCAAGTCTACACAGTTGCACCATCCTAAGCAGGCATAGTACCTAAATGACAAGGAATATCATTGAAGCCGAACACAAATACCTTAAAGGGCAGGGACTACTTCGACGTCCACGTTAAATATTATCTCAAGTATTATTTTCACGTACATGGCGCCTCCCCTGAAGAGGAGAACATATTTTCCAAATCACTCTGACGTTCTCCGCAAAAATATATTTTCTTAAATATTTTGGCAGCTCAAACTTAGTACTTCGAAGCTTCGGAGTGCAGACTTCAAAAATGGCAGTCAAAAAAAAAATCTTGCTTTGCTTGCAGGCGGCGTTGAGGTTAAACAAGGATCTTCCAAAACAAAAATGTCTTCCTGTGGACTGCACTTTTGATAACATTTCAGGTGATGTGGAATGCAAAAAGAGATATTCTCAAATTAGAATCTCATCTATCATGCCGAACGTAGCGTTTGCTTGGGTGTGCCAAATATTACAGTATCCTGCACCTTTGCTTTTAATGACTTCAGGTGTTTTATATAGACAAAGGAGCTGACTCCCGTGTCAGAAAGTTTTCAGTTTATTTGAGGACATTTGCAGTAGGAAAATGCCTATCTCGTACAACTGGGGCGCAGAGTGCAATATGAAATTATTTTCTCAGCGCGTCAGAACCTTTGTTGTTGTTTCACGCCGTTCAGAAACATCAAGAGGGCAATGTTCACTTTTACAATATTTAATGCGAAAGTATTAAATGTCTCATGGAGCGAGCCGACGTCATCACCTTTCATACCATGCAAAACTAACCTTAACAAAAACCACGCCCAAAGCTAGCCAACGGCGCCTTTTACACTTCCGTCCCGTTGGCTGGCACGCGTCGAAGAGGGTCCCATTGGCTGCTGCGCGTCAGTTTGAGTGGTGTCATCAAGACTGCTATCACACTGTTGCGTTATCAGTGATCACCGCGTACGCTCGCTTCGTATCGGTTGTACGGCGCGTGGCAATATATACGGCGCAGGAAATAAACCAAGGGGTTCGTTCTGCTGGGAACTCCGTTGCTCTCTGTTCCTTCCTCTCACCGCAAGGAACACGACAGTTTGAACGATCGCTCACCCGATGGCGCTGCGTGTCCGCGAGGTAGCGGCTCCACCGTTTCACGCCCAAGGCCAGCGCGTTGTACGCCGCAGATTAAGGAAGGGAGCGAAGAGCTGCGTGCGTACTTCCGCATTCACAACTCATGAGAAGTGCTGAGGTGTACCTCGAGCCTTTTACTTCCCATCTCGAATGTCTCTTAGGTAATTCACTCATACACGAACCAAAAAGAAAATCTAAGCTAAAGAACGCACTCACAAAACCCCGTCAAAAAGAAAGCGGGAGCCAAATGCAAGGGGAGACTTCGTAACCATACGAAGACTCACCCGCAAGGTAGTGGAGGCGTGGAGACACGAAAGGCCTACTAAACTCTCAGCGTTAAGTGGCGCGCACACTTACATTTGTTACGTGCTGGCAAGATAGAGAGATATCCAGCTCCTCTTCCTTGTAGTGTCAAAATTTTAAGTGAGACAGACGCGCGCCCAAATGACGTGCGAGAGCTCAGATCAACGCAGCTGGGTGTGTGAAGTCGTAAAGGTTGAAGTGTCAAGCCGGTCGAGCCAGTCGAGCGCACGCCTGCTAAATAAGACATTTCCAGTACCACGGAAGACCGAAACTACTTATGCATGCGATACACCTACACATGACCACGTAAACACCATAAAAATAAACGGCAAAACTTACTCGTGAGTGCACTCACCTCACTCACCTTCACCGACCCGGAGTGAGGTGTGGGTGAGTGAGTTTGTAAGCCTCGAAAACTCGTGTGAGTTTGAGGTTGATGAGGGGAATGGTTTTGGTGATTTTATAAGTTGGGTGAGTTCATGAGTTCGGTGAGGGGCGTGAGTTTATGATTTTGATGGGTTCATGAGTTTGGCAATGTATGAGTTCCCGAGAGGAATGGGTTTGATGAGAATCGGCAGGGTGACGTCAAGGAAGGGTGCCCATATGACTTCTCCGTAAATTTCCGGAAAAGTTGAGTAGACTCTGGTTTTGCAATGCCGCTGTTGGCTCGTACCGCTTGAAGTCAGTGTATCGGCTGCATATACAATGGACCTTTTTCCAGTAAGCTTCTGCGGATGCGCAAAACCCCATCTCCTGGCCTTGCTTCCCTATGTCGCCATTTCTGCAGGGCAAAGTTTCAATCGACCAACATATTCAGCACCTATCTTTGCGTCCATTTCGTCTTTTTGACGATTCTAATTTGAGTATATGCTTGTATCAAATCAAATCAAATCTTTATTTTCCAGAAACATTGAAAGGAGTCCCAGACAAAAAGCTGTTGAGACAGCTTGACTGGGTCTGGGACCCTTATTAAATGGCAGCAGCTTGGTAGTGCGCAACACTCTCCTAGCGTAACATTTAAGAAAAAAATCGTAACTTTGTAAACATTATAACACTAAGTTAGGGAACAACGAAGATATAAGAGCGCAAGTCTCGTTTGCTAATCGTGTATATGTTTATGTTGTTTGTGAGGCATTTATTTAAAACAAGTGGTAGGTTGTAATGTAAAGTTTGAAAGTTGTAGTTCGTGCGGGAACAAGGGAGGGCCCATGCTTCTCTGCGGCGTATGTTGACATCACTGCTATGCCTTACAGGCTCAGAAATAGTGAATAGGAAATCGATGAATAGTGTGGAGGAGAAGCGAATGGAACAAAGCAAACGATACTCATACATGCGTTCAACCGGAATTATTTGATATTTTAAAAATAAAGGTTCTGTGTGGTCTGTGTAGGAAACATCAGCAATATATCGTATTATTTTCTTTTGCAGTAATAGTTTGTTTTTAAGCTTTGTTTTTGTTGTAGTAGCCGAAACAAGGGGACAATAACTCAAGTGGGATTGAAATAATGCATAATAAATTTTAAGTTTAATGTTGAGTGGCGACAACGAGAAACAATACCAACGATCCGAGAAAGTTTAGCTGTTAAATAATTTACATGACAATCCCACGTCATAACCTCTGAAAAAAATACACCTAAAGTTTTATGCTGGTTGACTATTTCGATTGACGACGTACCTAGTGAGATCGTGTAATTTATTGAAATGGGCTTATTTTTTTTATCTGGATAAGATTGCTTTAGATTTCATTGTATTTACCTTAATGCCGTTAGTATCAGACCACAATGCAAATTTGGTAAGAGTAGAATTGGCTTGGCAT